GCACTTTGAGAGGCCAAGACAGGCAGATCATGAGATCAAGAGATCGAGACCATCCTGGCCAACATGGTGAAACCCCGTCTCTACTAAAAATACAAAAATTAGCTGGGTGTGGTGGCACGCGCCTGTAGTCCCAGCTACTTGGGAGGCTGAGGCAGGAGAATTGCTTGAACCCAGGAGGCGGAGGTTGCAGTGAGCCGAGGTCTGGCCATTGCATTCCAGCCTGGCTCCCGGTGACGGAGCGAGACTCTGTCTCAAAAAAAAAAAGTAAAAACAGGTGAAATACTATGGTTTATTTACTCAGTACGTCCAAAATGTTCATTTCATAGAATCAACATAAAAATGAATGAGATATTTTACATCCTTGTTTTCATCCTGTCTTTGAAATTAGGTATGTATTGTACTCTTATAGCACATCTCAACCGGGACTGTCCACATTTTGAGGCTCAGTGGCCACGTGTGGCCAAGGTCTAAGTACTGAACAGTGCACCTGTAGCCCATCAATTTCACTTTTCTCAGTTTACCTGACTTCAAAGACCTGGGCACACAGGCGTGGGAATGAGCAGGTGGAGGGGTGGGCAGCCTGGCCAGGCTTGCAGAGCCGACTGGCTGGGGCTTCCTGGAGGAGGTGGCAGCTTCACTCTCCTGTTGGTCCCCAGGTCTGTGGAAGGGGCACAGAGCCCGGAAGAGTCGGAAGCACAAAACCGCCGGTTGCTGCCTGACACCCCCAACGCCCTTCACATCCTGGACGGGCCGGAGCAGCGCTATTTCCTGGGTGTCGTGGATCTCGCCACGGTGTACGGGCTCCGCAAGCGGCTGGAACACCTGTGGAAGACACTGCGCTACCCGAGCAGGACCTTCTCCACTGTCAGCCCGGCTCGCTACGCCCGTCGCCTCTGCCAGTGGGTGGAGGCGCACACGGAGTGACCAGCGCCCGGCCCCACTCTCCGGATCTGGATGATGGGCCGCACGCCAGGAAAGCCGGTTCCTCCGGGCCCGGGCATCTCGCCTGTGCTTCCTCCTGATGGTCGCCAGAGGGCAGCATCCCCTAACTAATACCGTAACCATGCAGCCCCGTTTGACGGTGGTGCTGTGCCCAGCATCGTGCCAAGGACTCCCCTACTTTAGCTTATTTAATCCTCAAAAAATGCTATTATTCTCTTTTTACAGACCATGAGATGGAGGCTCAGGGGGTGAAGGGACTGAAACAGATCATTCAGCAATAAATGCTGGATCCAGGACTCAACATGGCTTTTGGATTCCGGAGGCTATATTCTTAACCACCAACTAACTCCTGGAGCTTGGTCCTCATGATCTGGGCAAGGGGGGAGGCTGAAGGCTGCAGCCCTCTTGTCGTCCAGATGGGGAAACTGAGGCCCAGAGACCTTAAGGGGCTTATGCACTGGTAAGTGGCAAGGTTGGCCCTGAGTACCTGGCCTCCCGACACCCTTCCTGGCCCCTGATACTCTAGGGATGCAGGTGGGAGAAGCTGGGTCCTGGGGAGCTCTGGGAGGCATTCTGAACGGGGTCCACTATTGATCTCAAGTGAGCTCTGCCCTCTGAAAGTCACTTTCTCATCAGTAAACCTGGGACAAGGGTCAGTGGTCAGACCAAGATCTTGGCTGCACAGACATCACTGGGAGCCTGCATGGTCCCTGATCATGCCTTCTCCTTCCCCTAGGAAACTCCAGCCTGGCCTCCAACCCCAGTTCAATCCGACCATGCCCCAACCCCAAGCAGGCCTTTCCTCCAGAGCTGCCCCAGGGACTGGCTGCGTGACTGGGGCAAGGTGCTAAACCTCTCTGTGCCTCACTGGTCTAATTTGTAAAATGAAAGGATGGAAACAGACCTCATTAACTCATTAAATATTTGTTGAGCACCTGCCATGTGACAGGCCCTCTGCTGGGTAATGGGGACCTGGGCATGAAGCAAGTGGCATGGTTTCTGCCTTCACGGAACTCTCAGAACTCACAATCTGGGGGAAGGGACCCCCTACCTGATCATTTGATGGATGGTGTTGGGGGAGGGGCTTTAACTTCTACACTGAGACCAAATAAGAGTCTGACACATCCCTAGGAGGATCCCAGGCTAAGGATACACCAAGGGTCTGGGGTAAGAGAAGAAAAACGTTTCAGAGTGGGAGGGGGCCATGTGGGCCCACAGTGGACCCCCAGGTTTGGACAATGTAGGAACTTGGGGAAGCCCTTCAGCTGCAACGCTCACTCATTCCACTGACCTGCCAGATCCCATCAAAGCAAGATAGCTGGGGGCCGGGCACGGTGGCTCATGCCTGTAATCTCAACACTGGGAGGCCAAGGCAGGCAGCTCACCTGAGGTTGGGAGTTCAAGACCAGCTTGGGTAACACAAGTGAAAATCCATCTCAAAAAAAAAAAAAAGAAAGAAAGAAATACGGTTGAGGGCCTGGGTGCAGTGGCTCATGCCAGTAATCCCAGCACTTTCGGAGGCAGAGGTGAGTGGATCACTTGAGGTCAGGAACCAGCCTGGCCAACACGGTGAAACCCTGTTTCTACTAAAATATGAAAATTAGCCACACCTGTAGTCACAGCTACTCAGGAAGCTGAGTCAGAAGACTCGCTTGAGCCTGGGAGGTGGAGGTTGCAGTGAGTTAGATTATACCACTGCACTCCAGCCTGGACGACAGAGTGAGACTCTGTCTCAAACAAAACAAAACAAAACAACAAAAAAGAAAGATGGCTGAGGGGAAGGAGGGAGGACGCAGAGCTCTGGCTGCAGGCCTGCAGTATTGGTTCCTGGAATATGTGGTTTTTGGGTTTTTTTGAGACAGGGTCTCCCTCTGTCACCTAGCCTTGAGTGCAGCGGCATGCTTACAGCTCACTGCAGCCTCAGCCTCTTGAGCTCAAGTGATCCTCCCACTTCAGCCTCCCAAGTAGCTTGGACTACAGGCATGTGCCATCACACCTGGCTACTTTTATTTTTTTGCAGAGACAGGGTCTCGCCATATTGCCCAGGCTGATCTTGAACTCCTGAGCTCCAGGAATCCGCTTGATTTGGCCTCCCGAAGTGTCGGGCCCACAGGTGTGAGCCACTGCACCCCAACAGAATATATGCACTTTAAATACTGACATCACTCTTAGTCGTCTCGGGGACCTTGCCTGATTTCTCAACCTTTCTGTGCTGGCATGGGCTGAGTGGAAATTTTTTGTTCTTGCTTTAGCAGGAAGTTGTGACAAAGAGTGTATCAGGCCCATCACTCGGGAGGTGATGGTCCAGGGAAAGTCAGAGGTGGCAGGGAATTGCAGCAGGCACTGGGGTCTGACACCACATTTCCACCCGTCTGGCTCCCACAGGGCTGAGTCAGCGCCACAGAGTCCTGCTGTCACACATAAGGATGATTCAGCCCCTCTCCACCTTTGGGTCTCTGGCTGTGAGCCTAGCCGGGATCTCAGGCTGGAGAGGAAAGTGATTTGTCCAAGAAATCATGGGACCCAGGCTCTCCTAACTCACACATTGATAGACATGACATAGCACCTAATGTGCTGGGCACAGTGTGGGTGCTGGGAGTGCCCTGAGCACGTGGCTGGTCTGTCTTTGCCCACATGGAACTTAGAGTCTATGGGGCAGGTGGAACCTAAACAAAGTAAACAGTAAATACACAGGGCAATTTCAGACTGTGACAAATACTATGAAAAACTGAGTTGGGGTGAGGCAGGAGGGATGGGGGTGCAGGGTTGGGCAGGGTGGCTGGCAAGGGCTTTTCGGAGGAGGCGGTGCTTGAGCTGAATGACCAGAGGAGCCACCATGTGACTAGAGCAGTCCAGCAGAGGATACAGTGAATGCAAAGGCCCTATGGTAGGAATGGCTTCAGTATGATTGGCGGGCAGAGGGTGGCCAGGGCAGGTGGAGGGTGACTGAAGGAGTTCACATGGTGCAGAATCTTCTAGGCTGTGGTAAGCAGAGTAGTTTTTTGCTAAGAGCAAAGTGAAGGTCTTCATCTGGGGCTGTGACTTCCTGGTCACAGTTCCACCATGGACTTCTGATCCTCATCTACCCTGGGAGCCCGGGGCCACTGGGGCAAAACCCTGTCTCCACGTGGCCCTAGCAAGGATGGAGTTGCCTCTCTGGGGAGGAATCATCACTTCACCAGCCATCGTGGGCAGTGAGTGAATCCATAGGGAACTTCTCACCATTGCACCCTCAGGGTTGGGCCTATGAGGAAAGAAACTTGAAGGATGAGGGCTGAGGGGGAAAGGCTCTGGCTCTGGGAACCCACTGCCTGTGTGAGTGAGGGGCCATGGCGACTGGGCATGAACCACTACTCCCCACGTCTGTCCAGGCTGGAGTGGCAGGGACAGGAGGGTTTGTGCTCAAAGGAGGCCCCTGGGGTGCAGGGCCACTGCAGCAGCCCTCCTCCCAGCCCCTGGACAGGGGAGGCACTGAGGCCTAGAGCACCAGGCTCCGGGGTGATTTGGCTTGGAACCTGGAGCAGGGTAGACTGGGAAGGTTGCTGAGCTGCGGATGGATACCCTGGCATCCTGCCCAGGCCTGAGCCTCTGAGAAAAAGGAAAAAGGAGTTTGACATGGAGACCAGGGCAGGAGCGCAAGCTGGTTCCCAGGCCAGTGCCCTACAGAGGAGGTGACTGCAGTGGGGATGGTGAGATGACCTTTACGGCCAATGCAACATTTTGCAAAAAAGATCTTAGACTAGGGCTGAGCGTGGTGGCTCACACCTGTAATCCCAGCGCTTTGGGAAGCTAAGACCGGCAGGTTTGAGACCAGCCTGGCCAGCATGGTGAAACCCTGTCTCTACTAAAAATACAAAAATTAGCTGAAAATCTCTTGAACCCTGGAGGTGGAGGTTACAGTGAGCTGAGATGGCGCCACTGCACTCCAGCCTCAGCAACAGAACGAGACTCCATCTCAAACAAACAAACAAACTAAAGATCCTAGACGGGAAGTGTGCCTTCTCACTTCCCCACAGGCCCACTCCTGCTACTGCCCCAGTGCTTTCTGCCACCGACCTGACGCCTGAAGGCAGTTGCCTCTGCGATCCCAAGGGACCCCAATAGGACCCCAATAGGACACTGCAGCACCTGCCCAGGGCCTGGGCTGAATTGACTTGGATTTGGAGGACATTCCAGCAAGGAAGACTTTGAGAGGTAAGAGTAGGTGGTCACAGCCCCGGCTCTGGAGTGAAACTGCCTGGGTTCGAATCCTGGCTGTGCCAGGAGCTGCCTCTGCACTGTCTTAGAGGAGAGAAAAACAGGCTCAGGTGAATGCCACACGGACATAATCATAGTAAAATAATCACATTGAAAATAACGAATTTATTCGTTATCTGAATTTCCAGTGTCGGGGGACATTCTGTGTCTTACTTGATAAATCCGGCAACCCTACCAGTTGAAAGGTGGGCTGCCTGACCCGAAGCCCCGCTTAATTTTCCTGCCCAACCCTCATTTCAGAAATAGAGACACTCAAGTCCGGACAGCCAGGCCGCCACTGCACGGTGGCCCCGACACCCTCTAGGTCAGTTTCCCCTGCGGCCCCAACAGCCTCGCCCAGGCAGGACCCCGCTGGAAATGCGGGAGGACGGAGAAGTGAGAGGCCGGAGCGAAGTCTGACTCCGCCCCGGCCCGGAGGCCCCGCCCTTAGCTGGAGGCCTCGCCGCCAGCGATTCACGTCCCGCCCCGTCCCGGCCACGCAGAACCCGCTCCAGGTCGCGCAGGCCGCGCTCGTAGGATCCGCCCGCGACGCACAGGCCCCGCCCCCGGCGCGCGAGTCTCCGCCCCGTCTCCGCCGGCCCCGGCCCCGCCCCCGCCTCCGGCAGCGCGGTTTCGGCTTCCAGCCTCCAGAAGGGCCGGCCGCGTCGCCGCCTCCGCCCCGGGGATCCTGCTTCCAGCCCGGTCGGCCCGGCCCGGAGGCCATGGAGCTCCGAACAGCGGATCTCGAGCCTCCTGCGAACCCCAGCCTGCACGCCTGGTTAGCACCCGGCGGGGAGATGGGGCAGTGGAATCTGGAAGGGCGGTGAAAACCCCACGTCCTGCCCTCCCCCGGCCTCTCCATTCGTCCCCCGGGGAGAGAGGTAGGAGGATGGAGGGGGTGGCATTCCTGGCTTCTGGCTCTCTCTGCCGCAGACCTGATTGGTGACCTTGAGCTGGGGGCGCCTCCTCGCTACCTCTTCCCCATCTGCGCAGTGAGGATTGGGTTGGCAGGCGGTCTCGCAAAGGTCGCTGATTCCTGCTCCCTTAGGATGAGGACATTGCCTTCCGGTGTTTAGAGACGTCAAGGCGTTGGATTCCCGGCTCCATGTGCTTTCACCCCGGCCTGTACCCTCCCCTGCCTCAGTTTCCCCCATAGCCTGGGACCCCATCTGCCTTACCCCTCCTGGCTCTGAGTTTCCGGGTCTTGGCAGGTGCCCGGCTCCTACCCCTTCCCAGCCCCAGCCCTGGAGACAGCAGCCCCCAAATTACTGAGGGACAGCGACAGCATGAAGGCTCCGGTAAGTGGTGGAAGAAAGACTCTCAGGGAATGCAAAGGCCCTGACCAGAGGAGCAGCTCAGCAGCCTCTCCACCCAAGGACCCGCTGCCACTTCTGACCTCCCTGCTGCGGTGCAGAGAAAGGCAGACTGGCCTCAAAGTCCAGCGCTGTTCTTGCAGACTGTGCGGTCCCAGGCGGGTGGCATCCCCTCTGTGGGTCAGTGCCTTGCTCTCCCTGTAAAACAGAGGTAACGCTACGATCTCACCAGGCGAGGCCTTCCTGGGACTAGGGGTGTGAAAGTTGAGTTCAACTACTCTTGTCTTTACGCAAAAGTCCTGGGCTGTGGGAAAGAGAGCTGGATGTGGGGGGCAGTTCACCTTGACTGCCTGAGTCAAGGTCTCTGGTCCCTCATGGGCAGGGGTGCCAGGCAGAACTCCCTCCCCTGCACAGCTGGCCACACAGAAGA